TATTATGTGTTGAATTGTCCTTTCTCCCTTTAATTCTGATGGTCTTTGCTCCATGTATTTTGTGGCTCTCTAGTTAGGTGCATATCTGTTTATAATTATTATATCTTCTTGATCTGTTGACCCTTCTATTGTCATAAAGGTCCTTCTTTTTCCCTAGTAAACGTTTTTGTTGGTATTCCGCCCCCCCCCACCGGCTTCCTTTGAGACTTTATCTTTTTTTTTTTACATTTTGAATATTGTATACCTAAGAGTAGTTTTTTAAAAGTATTTATCCCACTTGGTGTTCTCTGAACTTCCTGGATCTGTGATTTGGCATCTGTCATTCATAATTATAAAATTCTCAGCCTATATTCCTTCAAATATTTCTTCTGTTCCTTTCCTTCTTCTCTTTTGGGTATTCTCATTATATGTATGTTACATATTTTACAATTGTTCTATAGCTCTTAGGTATTCTGTTCTCTTCTCTTCACTTTTTTTCTCTTTGCTTTTCACTTTGGGATGTTTCTATAGATATACCTTCAAGCTCACTGGCTTTTTCCTCAGCTGTGTCCAGTCTACTGATGAACCCATCAAAGACATTCTGTATTTCTGTTACCATAGGTAACATAGGTAACCTGTTACCATAGGTGTTTTCAAAATGTGTTGCATTTCCTTTTGGTTCTTTCTTTCAGTTTCCAGTTCTCTGCTTACATCACCCATCTTTTCTTGAATGTTGTTCACTTTTTCAGTTACAGCTCTTAGCATATTAATCATAGTTATTTTAAATTTCCTGTCTGATAATTGGAAAATCTCTACCATATATGAGTCTCATTCTGATGCTTGTTTTGTCTCTTCAGACATTTTTTTTTTTGTCTTTTAACATGCCTTGTAATTTTTTGTTGAAAGCCAGACATGATGTGTTTGTTAAAGGAACTGAGGTAAATAAATTTTAGCATGAGGTTTTATGTTTATTTGGGTTAGGAGTGAGGCTATGTTTACTCTTTGCCATAGCTGTGGTGTCAGAGGCTAAAATTTCCTCTAATGTCTCCCTCTTTTGGTCTTCCCTTCTGGCTTTGGGTTTCCCTAGAGACTCCTTCTTAAACAGAATTTGAGCCTTGCAGTTCTTTTGGTTGTAATCCCCTGTTATTATACAGGAGCCTGAATGATGTGGTGGTAAGATGTGGGAGGAGGGGAAGAATTCTGGAATCATCTGTGACCAGGTTTTATTCTTTTGGTAAGCCTGTGCCCTGGGCTGTGCCCTTCACAAGTGCCTCTCAGCTCTCCCCACCTTCGGTGAGACAGGAAGGCCAGAGGGGGGCTGCAGTTGGGTACTTCCTTTCCCCTATGTCAATTCAGCTGTGGCAAAATAGTTTCCCTTGAGGGCAGGCCTTTGTTAAGGAGAACAGAATGCTCTGGGTGTATTTCAGAATGGTTGCTTTTTCCTCTCCCCTTGCTGGAGAGCAGTCTTTACCCTGAGAAGCTGGTGGGGCTCCTGAGGTTAAGGATGCGCCCCTAGAGCTCTCTCTCAAGCTAGTCTGAGCTCAGTCCCAGCAATTGGTCATTTGCTCTCTAGCTGCTCCTACCAGTTGCTGCCTCCAGCAGCATTTCCTGCTCCTGCTAAGCTGTGACTCTTTGTGTGCACCTGTCTCCCCAGTTTTGGGATCTGTAGTTTGCCCCATGACCCCAATTCTCTGATGGACCTAAGAAGGGTTGTTGATTTTTAGCTTGTTCAGCCTTTTCCTTGTTGTGAGGATGGAGGTGATGACTTCCAAGCTCCTTACATGCCAGACCAGAAACCAGAAGTTCCCCATTCTCTCCTGAATCTACATCAGCAAGGCTTTCCACCACATCACTCTTCTGAAACTGCTTTTGTGATGGTCCCTGATGTCTAGATATTGCCAATCCAACCATCATCATCGTAGTCAACCTGTGAACAGATGTGACACAGCTGATTACTTCCTCTCTTTGGAAACAATATCTTTACTCGAATTCTGGGCCAGTCTCTCTCTTGGTTCCCCTACAGCTATGACTACTCCTTCTAGGTCTCATTTCCTCGTCCCTCCTTATCCCCTTGACCTTTAAACCCTGGAGGGTACAAGAGGTCAGCCAATGGACTTATTCTCTTCTCTGTCTACAGGGCTGGAAATATGATCCATAGGTTTATAACTTCCAATTTTATATCTTCAGACTGGACTTCTCCCCTCAACTTTAAGTCAAATATTCACCTGCTTATGCAAAGTTGCTCCCCCATGGTCTTCCCATTCCAGTAAAAGGCAACACCATCTTTCTGTTGTTTGACCAAAAGCATTGAATCATCCTTGACTCCTTTCTTTCTCATCCAACCCAGCAGTAAATCTTGTCCAGCCTACTTTCAAAACACATCCAGAATCTGACCACTTCTCACCTCTTCCACAGCTCTCTCTTTAGTCAGAACCGCCACCATTTCTCAGCTGGGCTATTACAATAACACCCTGCCTGGTCTCCTGTTGTGCCATTACCCCTCGTGATCTATATTCAGACAGCGCAATCCTGTTAAAATGAAGGTCAGATCCTGTCACTCCTCTGCTTGGGATCCTCCAGTAGCGTTTCATTCAGAGTAAAAGCCAAAGTATTTTGACTCCAACTCTTTTTTTTTTTTTTTTTGCGGTACACGGGCCTCTCACTGTTGTGGCCTCTCCTATTGCGAAGCACAGGCTCCGGGCACGCAGGCTCAGCGGCCACGGCTCACGGGCCCAGCCGCTCCACGGCATGTGGGATCTTCCCGGACCGGGGCACGAACCCGTGTCTCCTGCATCAGCAGGCGGACTCTCAACCACTTTGCCACCAGGGAAGCCCGACTCCAACTCTTTGAACAGATCCACTGTTCTTCCTCTTGCTCATTCTGCTAGAGCCACGCTGGCCTTACTGCTCCTCGACTATGCCAAGTCTCCCAACCGCAGGACCTTTGCACATGCTGTCCCTGCTGCCTAAACAGATATCTTCATGACCTGCTCCCTCCCAGCCTTTACATCTTTGCTCCAATGTCACCTGCTGGATGAGGCCTTCCTTCCCCTCTCACCCAATGTGAAAGTGAAATCAGCTCCTCCATCATTTTCCATATCCCTTGCATGGCTTTATTTTCCTTCACAATATTTATCACCATCTGTTGTAGCACAGATTTATATGTGTGTTGTCTCTCTTCCCCGTGAAAATATTCATTTCATAAGAACAGAGACTTTGTCTCATTTGCTTCACAGCTATATTTCCAGTGCCTGGCATCAGTATGTACCCAATGCCTTTTTGAATGAATGAATGTGTGACTATCAGGTTGAGACTCCATGGGTAAGAGGCAGGATTAATTCGGTTACTTAGGGGCTCAGAGTTAGTGTAGAGATGAATTTGGAGGAGGGGGAGAGTACATGGCAAGGGAGTGGTGGGGTGTAGGTCTGGATAAGGGGTGTGTGTGTGTGTGTGTGTGTGTGTGTGTTGGTGGGCATACGCCTGCACATGTGTGTGGTCCCACAGGAGGCAGAAAAGACCACAGAGGGAAGGCTGGCAGGGGATCAGACTTAACTTGGCTGATGGAGAGGCTCTTCCATTAGGTTTCAGGGAGCGAACAAGACATCCAGAAACATCATCTGATGTATGTGCAAGAGACTAGAGGGGCGGAACAGGAAAGCAGGTGGTCTCTGAGAGGCCAGAAGAGAAGGGCTCTGAGGTCGAGTGGTCCTACCATGGCTCCTCTTGTCTGGGCCCTTGGTCCTTTATCTGTGTACTCTTGCAACACCCTCCTCATTGGTTGTCAGAATGATTTTTATACAACCCGAATCTACTCAGGCCACTCCCAAGAGCCATGGCTGCTTCCCACCACCCCTACATTTTTAGTGTCATAGTTCAGTCTTCCACTCTCTCCCACCCTCTCCCCATGCAGCCTGACTTTAGCCAGGCTCGGACACACCCTCTTCCCCAAAATGCCATAACCATCCTCTCCTCCACTTCATTGCTCTTACTGTTTCCTCTACTTGTAATTCATTCATTCATTTAATAAACAATCATTGGAGGCCTCCTCTTTGCTGGGCACTCTTCTCATTTCTAGAAATATAGCAGGGACTTCCCTGGTGACACAATAGTTAAGAATCTGTCTGCTAATGCAAGGGACATGGGTTCGATCCCTGGTCTGGGAAGATCCCACATGCTGTGGAGCTGCTACTACTACTACTACTACTACTACTACTACTACTACTACTACATGTGCCACAACTACTGAGCCCACGTGCCGCAACTACTGAAGTCCGCATGCTTAGAGCCCGTGCTCTGCAACAAGAGAAGCCACTGCAATGAGAAGCCTGTGCACCGCAATGAAGAGTAGCCCCTGCTCGCCACAACTAGAGAAAGCCCACATGCAGCAGCGAAGACCCAATGCAGCCAAAAATAAATAAATAAACAAGTAAATTTATTTTTTAAAAAAGAAAAAAGAAATATAGCAGTAAAAGCAATAGACATGGCCACTGCCTACCTGCTCTTGCTCACCTGAAAACCCCTGCCCCTCCATAAAAGATGTGTTAATTAGGACTCTTGGTGGTAAGCGACAGAAAGCAATATAAACAAAAAGTTAGTTTATTGCCTCACATCATTGAAAATTCCAGGAGTTGACCTGAAGGGGAAGCTTCAGGCAAGGCTGGATCCAGGGTCTCACTCTCTCCATCTCCCAGATCCTTCCTCAGGCATGTCCTCCCCCTGGAAACCAGCAGGCTGCTAGCAGCTCCAGAGTTATATCCTATTCACTCAGCAACCTCAGAAAGTCTCCGTCTCAACAGCTGGGTGCTGTTACCCGAAGAAGGTGGATTAGGTCTTTGCTGGGCGAAACTAAGAAGGTGTCTACAGAGGTCCAGTTCTAATGGCAATCCCAGCACCCCTCCCCCTCCCAGACAGAAGCCAGTTCCCCTCCCCTGAGCATCCTGCTGGGGATGAGTTAGAGAGGGTGAGGGAGCCCCCAGAGAGTGGGAAAGAGGACTCAGGGTCTTTTGCTCTCCTCCCTCCAGATCGCTGTGTCTGTGTGTTCCAAGGACTGCCATCCTGGGCAAAAGAAGAAGCCAGCTGTCATCCACCCCTGCTGCTTCGAGCGTATTGACTGCCTCTGTGGCACCTTCCTCAACACCGAGCTGCAGGTATGATTCATGGGCCCACATGCTTGCCTTGCCACTGCCCTGCCCTGGGAGGGGGGTGGTCTCCAGGGCCCTTCACCTTCGGCAGGGTCTCTGGGGTCTCCCCCATGGTACGTAAGTGTCCAAAGGCCAAGAATTATGTCTTTCCCACCAGAGGGTGAGGTCTTGGGAGGAAGGAATTATAGTTATTAGACTCTGAGTCAAGGAGTCCTCGGTTCAAATCCTGCCTCTATAACTTCCTGGCTTTGTGACTTTACCTGGCTGAGCCTCAGTTTCCTAATCTGTGAAATGGGGTTGCTGTGAGGAGTTGATGAGTCGGGGAGTGTAAGGGACTCAGTGAGCATTGGTCGCCCTTAGCTCTCTCTCTCTCTTCCTCCTGCCGTGGCCTGGCCCAATGCAGGCCCAGTGGATGTAGATGCTGAGAAGGCAGGTTTGGCTGATGGGAGTTGCTGTGGGCTCTTGCAGGTGAATTCGACTGCCAGCCCTGCCCAAGTTACGAGTGGTCCCACAGGAAAGACACCACCTGCTTCAAGCGGCAGCTGGCCTTCCTTGAATGGCATGAGGCACCCACCATCACTGTGGTCGTGCTGGCTGCCCTGGGCTTCCTCAGCACCCTGGCCATCTCGATAATCTTCTGGAGGCAGTTTCAGACGCCCATGGTTCACTCGGCTGGGGGGCCTGTGTGCTTCCTGATGCTGACGCCTCAGCTGATGGCATACATGGTGGTCCCCGTGTAAGTAGGGCCGCCCGTGGTCTCCACGTGCCTCTGCCTCCAGGCCTTCTTCACACTCTCCTGCATCACCGTGCGCTCTTTCCAGGTCATCTGCATCTTCGAGGTGGCCAGACGCCTCCCACGGGCCTACGGCTTCTGGGTCCGCTGCCATGGGCCCTACGTCTTCGTGGCATTCATCACGGTGCTCAAGACGGTCATCGTGGGGAGCAGCATACTGGCCGTGACCACCAACCCTACTGCCCGCACTGACCCCGATGACCCCAAGCTCACGACCCTGTCCTGCAACTCCAGCTACCAGCGGGGGCTGCTGATCAACACCAGCCTGGACCTGCTCGTCTCCGTGCTGGGCTTCGGCTTCGCCTACATAGGCAAGGAGCTGCCCACCAGCTACCACGAGGCCAAGTTCATCACCTTCTGCATGACCTTCTACTTCACCTCCGCCGTCTTCCTCTGCACCTTCGTGTCTGTCTACGAGGGGGTGCTGGTCACCATCCTGGACCTCTTGGTCACTGTGCTCTACCTCCTGGGCATCACCCTGGGCTACTTCGGCCCCAAGTGCTACGTGATCCTCTTCTACCTGGAGTGCAACACGCCAGCCTACTTCAACAGCATGATTCAGGGCTACACCATGGGGAGGGGATAGCACTCCTGTCATCTGCGCATTGGGATGAGGGCCCCAGCTTTGGGAGGTGGAGGCCAGGGGCTTGTTTGTTCAACTCCAGATGGATCCAAGGAAGCCACCCCCAACGATTACCACCATGCCCTGGTATCTGATTTGGCGTTCCTCCGAGGTTCTCTGCGTCCTGGCCATTTTTACCCACCTAGCGATGGATGTCTAGAAACATTTGCCCTTCGTTCCTTTCCCTCGAGCTGTTTAGCTTGCCAGGCAATGCCACCCCATTCTAGAAAAACAACCCAAGCTGACCTATTGGTCTCCAAGGACTGAGTCCAGTTTGGCAGCCTACAGCCGCCATCTGGTGGTCACTGTGGGTACCTGCAGGTTCACGGTGAAGGGACGCCTGCTGGAGGGCTGGGCTGGGGTTGGAGGATGTGAGCTCAAATAATGCTGCCCTGCCTCATTCACTAGCTGCCCGTGTGTCCGCGCCTCATCCCCGAGATTCCCCCAGAGCACGAATCCCCGGCTTCTCTGTTGTCTCTGAGTACGGCTGAGCCCATAAATGCTCGGGAATAAACCTCGCTTGGGTGAAACGAATGAGTTTCCTTCTTGTTTTCCGGAGGTCCCCTAAGAAGATGTGGAATCGGAGACCTCGGTTTCAATCCCAGCATTGCCACTTCCGAGCTGTGTACCTTGGGCCAATTATTTACTGCCCCTGAGCCTACACTTCCGCGTCCCTAAAATGGGAGCATTGAAGGATCAGAGACAAGGGGTGCGAAGTGCATACTCAGTAAATGCCAACCGTTGCAAATCCACATGTCCCTGGAACCATCAGGGGCAAAATAAGACTGTGTTTCCTTTTTACACCCTGATGTCGTCCATGGTATATCTTCTAGTCCATGGCACTAGCCTCTGTTGGAAACTGGCCCCCACCCAGTAAATACTGGGTGTTGTTATGGGGTGCTCGAGCCTCTCACGTGCTCCAGAGCCACTGTGTACCATGGCACTGCCAAACCCGGGAGAGGCTGCTCTGCTGGGTGTGGCCGTGTGCATGTCAACCACCCACGATGGTGGGCTCCAGCTGCAGGAGGGGCCCTGTCTTCCCTGTTCAGGGGTCAGACCTGGCCTCTGACAGCTCACCAGGGAGCCACAACTTCCGTACAACTGCTGCCTGCCCAGAGAGGTTGAGTGACCGGCTCGGGTGCGCCCAGCTCCAAGTTGGGAGAGGGAGTGTCAGAGCCTCAGTGCACTCAGGCAGGGAGATGGGGGCCCTGAAGAATCCATAACTGCGGTGACATGGTGGCCTTCTCAGAAATCCCCGGGAGTGATTGAGAGCTTGGCCAGCCCCAACCCTGGCAGGAACAACTTCCCTAAGCTTATTTGCCGCTGGGAGGGCAGGACTGAGTCCTTGTCCTGAATTTACCTCTTTCATGCTTCAAGGTGGTGGGTGGCAGGATCTTGGCTTGAACCATCTGGGATTTGGGGCAACGGCCTTCATATTTTGGGCCGCTTCTCCGTGGACGGTCCCTGTTTCTCTTCCCTAAGCCTCTTTCTGGAGCCTGGCACAGAGCAGGTGCTCCGTGGATACTGACGAACCACTAAGTCACTGTCGGCTTCCTCCACTATCTCCTCCACCACCCACTGCCCCTTCCCCAAACCATCACATCCTTCATTCAGTTCATTCTTCATGGCCTGCGGTACTGGAAGGACGCTACAAATATTTGTACTTATAATTGATGAGGACAACAGCTAAGGTTTACTGCCCTCCCTAAGAACTGTACTGTAATTTTATCCATTTATTCCTCACCAAACCCTATGAGTTGGGTGCTGTTAGGGTCCTTATCTTACAGATGGGGAAAAAAAGAGACTCAAAAGGGTTATGAAACGTCCCCAGCCCCACACAGCTCACCCCAGGAACCACGGCCCTCTGTGGAGTGAGACCCAGACAGCCCTGCCTGGAAAGCTGGTGCAGGGGAATGGCAATCACGGCTAGGTGGAGGGGGTGCAGTGTCCCCGCCAGGGCCCTGTGGTGTGCTGGGGGGGCTTCAGATTTTAGAGAGATGGCTGGTGGATGCAGTGACCAGGGAAGACTTTGGGGGAAGCTGGCATTTGAAAAGAGCCTTGAAGGACAGAGAAGTTTGGGAAGGCCGGAAGTATGAGTGTTTGGGGAGGAGCGGGGGTTGGGGAGGGGCGGGGTGGGTGGGACAGGCAGCAGAGCAAAGGCAGAGTGGAGGGAGGCCCGCAGGAGCAGGCGGCTGAGGGTGGCTGGGTTGTAGAACCGAGCGTGGAAGAATAGCTGGGGCTACATGTGGGGGACCCTGACCTAGGTATCTGAACCTTGTCTTCCCTGGTGGCCACTGTCGGCGTCCCCCGCACAGACTGGCTGGCCCTGCTCCTGGGGTTGCCTGAGGTGCTGTCCCTGGATGTCCCTGACCTCTGTGACCAGCCTCCTCTCTGGCTCCATCCTCTTCCCACAGTCTTGGGTGTTGGCCTGGTGGGCTGGAGACTTGCTGGGACAAGACCCCAAGGACGGACTATTGGTGTGACCATCCCTTTTCTGTCCCCTCCGCTTGCCTCACAGGGGAGCCCAGAGCCTCGGCTGAGACCCCATCCAGCCCTGAGTTTCTGGGGAGCAGCTCTGTGCAGTCTGTTCCTGGATGTGCCTGTGTTCCGTGCCCCCCGCCCTTGGGACCAGCTTGTCAGAGGCTCAGGGAGTTTTAAGCTCTTAATTCTCTTTTCTTGCAAGCTTCTGATGCCTTGGTTTAGACATCTTTTTTTTAAGAGATAATGACCTCATTTTCCTGGTTCTGCCTCGCAGACCACCATTAGAGAGAGAATCCAGGAATCCCACTGACCTCAGAGGCATCTGCTCCGCACCGCCTTCTATAGCCACCCCGAGCTGAGAGCTTAATCCCTTCTTGTTCCCCTCCAGTGACAGGAGGCTCACTGAGGACAATGCCAGTTGCTATGTTGATAAAATTCTTCTTAGATTGAATCAAAACCTAACTCCCCGGGATTCTGAAACATCTGTGGCCACTAGTTTTATTTTTGGGGACCACAAATTAAATCTCATTCCTCTTTCTCATGAAGGTCTTTTTGTTTTTTTGTTTTTTTGTTTTTGCGGTATGCGGGCCTCTCACTGTTGTGGCCTCTCCCGTTGCGGAGCACAGGATCTGGACGCGCAGGCTCAGCGGCCATGGCCCACGGGCCCAGCCGCTCCGCGGCATGTGGGATCTTCCCGGACCGGGGCACGAACCCGCGTCCCCTGCATCGGCAGGTGGACTCTCAACCACTGCGCCACCAGGGAAGCCCATGAAGGTCTTTTATATGTAATAACAAAAAGCATATTGCCTTTGAAGGAGCACCTACTGTGTGCCATGTGCTTCATATACATTATCTCTAATCCCCATGATGACCCTGCCTGATGGGTACCTGTGACCCTCGGTGGCCACGTGCTGATACCTCCCAGCATCCCCTTCCTCCCTCCCTCCCTGGCAGCCCCTGGTCTCCCGAGGGAGATCTATATGGTTATAGGGAAGCTGCCTCCCGTGTCCTGGCTCCAGGGGATGGAGCAGGTGACCCAGGCCAAGCCAATCCACACACTCTTCCTTTGGCTGCAGTGATTGGCTCAGGGGTGGGCACATGACCTGGGTTGGTCCAATCAGAGCGACTTTCAGGATGCTTGCTGGGATAGCTTCTTTCTGAGGAACCAGCAAGGCTGTTGACCCAGGAGCTGGGGGCAGCTCTTGCAGGACCACAAGGCAAGTCAGCCTTAGAGGCAAAGTGGGAGGATGGAAAAACTGGGTCCTTGGAAACCTTTGAGATGATGGATCTTGCGGGCAGGCAGCCCCACCTCTGAAATCTCCCATTTCACGAGTCCATTAACGTCCATTATTGCTCAAGACAGTTTGACTTGGGATTTTCTGCCCCTTGCAACCCAATGCGTCCTTACCCTAGGGAAGAGGAAACTGAAGCTCAGAGATGCTGATTAACTTGCCCAGGGTCACCAGCTCATAAGTGAGGGAGCTAGGATTTGGGTTCAAGGGGTAATTGGGGTGGGGTTCAGCTATTGTGCTCTCCTCAGATCATTTGTTTTTTTGGTCTAAAGGTTCTCAGTTGCTCTTAGGACCTGATTGTGACCACCGACCCGGAGCTCTCCTTTGGTCCTCTCCTTACTCTCTGACCCGTAACCATCTCTCCCAGAGCACCTCTCCAGCCTTCCTCTCCAAGGCCCCTGTCATCCTGCCCAAATCCACAGTCTGGCCAGCTGATTGACGTCCCCTTATTCCCATCACAGTCACAGGTCTCCCCTGCTCAGAAACCTTCTGTGGCTCCCCAGGGCCTACACGATCCTGCCCCACCCACTTCGTGTGCCAGTCAGATCCTTCAAAATCTGGACCCTGCTCGCCTCTCCAGCTTCATCTCCAGCAGCCCCCCAGCTAGTCCCCAGACACACTGCTTGGTTTCACACCTTTACTCAGGCCCTTCTGTCTTTTCCCCAGTGGACTTACATGTGTCCCCTAAGGCCCAGTTCAAACGCCTCCTCCCCTGGGAAGAGTTCCCTGCCTTAGGCAGAGGGCTTCCTTTGTGCTCCCATAGCTACTTGGGCTTAACCTCTGTTGGTCCAGCACTTGTGACATGGCCGCTGCCTTTCTGGTCTGCTACCACCTGCGGGGGAGGGCAGGAACTGTTCTCTGTGCAGCCTTTGTCTCCCCTGTGGTCTCATCTCCAATGCTTTCGTCGCTCAAGGCATTGTTGGCTGAGCAGTGAGATGCCCGGGGCCTTACTCAGAGCTGGAGTGGACCTGGTGGGAGCTGGCTGTGATCTGGGGGCCGGGCCAGGAGAGAGGTGCTGCTTTCCCAGGTGGCAGAGGCTGCGGGGGGAATGGAGAGGGTGAGAGAGGGGAGCCAGCAAGCTGGGACTGAGCCTCCCAGGCAAGCACAAGTCTCTAGTGCTTCCTGGTCTCCAACAGTTTACTTACCTCAGGTATACTTTATATAACTCTTAACTTGGAAAGAGAAAATCCCAAAGACTAAATTCCATTGTTTTAAGAAAGAAAAAGCAAATATCTGTTCCGGTTTCACCAGGTAACCGTTTTACTTGGGAAATTTCATAGAAATAGTAGGATATCTTTCTCTAAATCTCACTTTTTGAAGAAAAAAAAATATGGCAGCATCTCCATCACTCAGACCAGAACCCTCTGCATCACCCCGACTTCTCTTTATCTCTCATCCTACGTCCTATCTGTCAGCAAATCTGTGGGCTCTACCTTCAAACTATATCCTGGTTTAAACCTACGTTCCAGCAACAGCCTCCTAATGGCTTCTGCCCTCGTCCCCATAGTGCCCAAAATGGTTCTCTAAAAACCTAAGTCAGTTCATCGCCTTCCCCTGCTCAGTACCCCGTGGCTCCCCAGCACCCTCAGAGGAAGAGCCAAAGTCCTTATGTGGGCGTGTGTCAGACCCACAGGGCTGCCCGCCACCTCCCTCCTACACTCCTCTGCAGCCACAGCACCCTCCTCACCATGCCCCAGACATGTCATGTTTCTGCCTCAGGGCCTTTGCACTGGCCGTTCCCTCCTCTTTATTTTTACTTTTTATTTCACTTTAATTTTATATTTTTGGCCGCGCCGTGCAGGATGCAGGATCTTAGTTCCCCGAGCAGGGATTGAATCTGGGCCCCCTGCATTGGAAGAGCAGAGTCTTAACCACTGGACCTCCCGGGAAGTCCCTGTTCCCTCTTCTTGAAATGTCCTTCCTGATAGTCCCATGGCTTGTTCTCTCATGCATTTTGTCTTCCTGTTTAAGTTTTTCTCTTTAACACTGGCCACTAACACACTATATATTTTACTTCTTTGTCTTGTTCATTGTGTTTCTTTCCCAATAGACCATACATTGCACAAGGGCAGGGAGTTTTGTCTGTTTTGTTAACGGACGTATCTCAAGCATCTAGGTAAGTGCCTGGTACAGAGTAGGTGCCCAACAAATGCTGGTTGAATGAGTGAGTGAAAGAAACAGAGCTATAATGGGTTGTGAGGTCAGAAGCCAGAGAAGCAGGGGCAGGTCGGGAAGTGTGGACGGTGATGGTCAGGCTGAGCAGTTCAGGTCTGTGAGTGAGGTGCATTCACTCGTGCACCCCTTCTCTCACTCCCTTGTTCATTTATTCACTCCACAAATGTTTACAAA